AACTTTTCTTTCATTGTCATTACGTGGGTTAAAACAATCTTGAGATCAAGATTGATTGAGTGAAATTCTTCATAGGTTGTGGTTGAATTTCTAACACATATCATATGAGAATCTCATTTTTATATGAGAACATGAGAATGAGTCTGAACCATTAGATTTTAATAATGAAGGAGAGAAAAACAAACCACACATAATCTTCACCATTTATTTTAAAATTTAATGGTTCAAATTCAATTTTATGTTCTTACATAAAAATGTCATTCTCATAGTATATGTCAATATAACTCGTACATGCGGGTATTCATCCGAACTCACGTCGAAGTTGATAGAAAAAATTCGTTTTGACCGGATTTGAATTTTGATTTGGATGTTTACCGATTAAAAAATATGGGGACGGATATGATAATATTGATACTGGTATCCATTCCGAACCTGTTCTGTTTATTTTATTATTTACATTATTATTTAGTTTTTATAATTTAAAATATTAAATATGTGTTAAATATTTTGATATTTTGATTTGTATTAATTATTTTAAAATATATATATATATATATATATATATATATATATATATATATATATATATATATATATATATATATATATATATATATATATATATATATATATATATATATATATATATATATATATATATATATATATATATATATATATATATATATATATATATATATATATATATATATATATATATATATATATATATATATATATATATATATATATATATATATATATATATATATATATATATATATATATATATATAATTTTTTGAGATTTTTTTATTATATTATTTGTAATATAATTTGATTTTTAAAATAATAAATATTTTTGTTGTAAAAATTTGATTTTATTAATGGATAGTAGCGGAGAAAAAATATCCGAATCTAACCTAACCTATTTGAGATGGATTTCGGTTTCAATTCTTCATCCTCTTTAAATTTGAGGCAAAGAATGAGAATTATTTGGAAATTCAAATGTGAAGGTTTGTAAAAATCATCTCGTCCCGGCTCGTTCCCATATATACATCCTTGTTTCAGTTTTCAATCATGAATATTCTAATGCACTAGTGGCCATATCTAAATTAATTATCAAACATAATGTACTAGTGTCATTGCACTAGTAGATAAAGAAGCCGTAGAATACAAAAATTAGTAATAAAATGGAGATTAAAGTTTGAAACAATAAAATTGGTTAATTATCAAATATGATTTCATGGATTAAAAGAGAAAGAAAAAGAACTCACTCAAAATTGAATGGACTGAAAGATAGATTTTATAAAAAGATGAACGGTAAGAAATGTAATGGAGTTCTATGAAAGAGGAAGAAGAAAAGAGCATAACTAGAGAGTTGGTTACAAGAAATGCAAGAAGAATTTGTGAAAACAAAGAAAACAAGTTGTTTTTTAATTGAGGTATAATAATTATTTATAAATGGATTTAATTGTTATGCACTTATCGTGTAAAAATATTTTACATTGTCATTTAATAATAATATATCATTATGTTATTTCATATAATTAGTTTATAATTTTCAGTATAACTTGACGAGATATATGGTCATCATTGTTTGATAGTGTAAAAAAAATTTACCCTATCAGGGCATCTCCCTTTTTTTTTATAAATAAAGATTAATTACTATGCACTGTCAATGTAAAAAATTTTACACCGTCTATTCATCACCATCATCCATTTGCTTTATTTTATAAGTGGTTAAAATAAAAGTCAAACTTTTTTGAACATCCAATGACTATGATTAACACACCGTCCGTGTATTTTAATAAAATTCTTATAAATAAAAAACAAAAATATTGTCTAGGCCATTTAAATTATTTTAAAATAACAAGTTAGTCCTTTAAATTTTTTTTGTAACAGTTGGGTCCTTTATGTTAAGAAACGTTTGCATCGTTAACCTTTTTTTATATTTTCCGTTTCAAAAAAACCTATGTGACACAGATGGTGATGAAGTGGCAGTTAACGTTGATGAATTTTCATGGACGGTTGTCAAAGTGGCATCTCTCACATACTTTGAACCCGAATTCTCATTACTCTATCAATGGCGTCGTATGGTAACAGTGGACAAAATCGAACATGTTCGAACGCTAATACATTCATATCGAGTGCATCCCAAACCGGAATCGAACCGACCTGTCCGTGTGGAGTCAAAGCAGTGTTGGGAACAGTTAAGAAGAAATGAAGAAACTTGGGAAAGCTATTTTGGGGATGCAAATACTTTGTGGTACGTCTGTTATTAAACATTGTTGGTTGTGGATTTGGTTTATGCAGATGTAATTAGTTTTTGCTTTTTTTGTGTTAATGTTAATAGAGTGAAGATGAAAATGTCGGTTGCAAGTTTTTTGTGTGGTATGAAAACCATTACAGTGATGAAGTCAAATAAGAGATACAACCTCACTAAATTCAAAATGTTCCAACTGTGATGACAAGGATGTTGAAATCAAGTTGCTTAAAATTTTGATTGAAAATGATGAGAAATAAACTAAGGAGATCAAGGATAACTTGTTGAAGATGTTGAATATGCTAGGTTATGTCACTATGTTGTTAGTTTTGATCTTTGCAGTGTTATGTGTAATTTGGTTTCAAAGTGGAAATCATTGTTAATTATCATTGTAAGTTATGAGTTGTGGTACTTTCATGTAGGAATTATTGATCATGATTTGGTTAATGAAACGATTATGTTTGCAATTCTACAATTCTATACCATAATTATAGTATAATTTGTAGACAGTTATGTTTTGCTATGTAGACCAGTCATAATGAGTCTTAAGAATTTGTTTTACAATTCTGCAATTTCGTACCACATCTGTCACGGTTATGGTATAATTTGTACAACAGGAAAATTGGAAGGACTTCTTTGTTAGATTTTAAAAACCTTTGGGACTCAAGTGTTACCAATTAAAAACATGATGGGCATGTGATCCGCACGGATCAAAAACAATTATTTTTGAAAACAGTAGTAACGGTAACAACAACTCGAGTATCATTCTCACAAGGATTCTTGTATTATTTCAACCAACTAAAGAAAAGGTTTAGGGGGATTTTAAGTTTTGATTTATAAAACAAGAGAAAAAGGGATTAAAATAAGTGATTATCAATTAAGCTAAAACGGCTAATCCTACTGATTCGGATTCTGATTTATCATCGGCTATTATAACACCAATCCCTAAGCGGTTTCAATCCTATTCGATTATGATATTAATCAGGCAAGCACTTATCAAAATCATACGAATTATGTTCCTGTTTACCGAATTAAGCAAACGGTTAAGAATATGACGAGTTAACGAATTAAGCAAACGATAACACGCAATTAAATTTAGGAACATGCATACATTCGAATTTAATCAATTATATCCTATAAATAGCAATCGAATTAAGCAAACAATTTCAATCAAATTAAGCAAATGACTTCATAGAAAATGATTGAAAGGAATCGAATTTAAATTGGTATTACCTCAGAGCGATGGAACCCGTAAGCAACAAGGTTTGCCTTCGAGAATTAGTTCTCCATTCAAATCGTACAAAAGCAAAAAGTAAACTTAGTGAAAAGAAGGTTTTTTTACAGTAGTGCGGCTTCTAGTTATAAGAAAGCATCAACATTCTGGTTTTAACCCACCTGGGTCGAAAAACATAAAAAACCCGGTCCAAAACTAAATTTCAAACAGCAGATTTTGGGTCCTGACTTCAACGAATTATTTGGATATGCTACACTCTGTATCATCCTCTTCCTCAAACATAAAAGTTGTAGCTCTATGTCTTAGCTTTCTAACGCCTATTAGAACATGAAAATTCAATTCTCGCAGCTCCAGTTATGATTCAAACAGTGGGCAGATATCAAATAACCGCTAAAGCTGAAAATAAGCTACAAAAATAAAATAAAGGTAAAAACAAACTTAAATATGAAAACACATTAAAATAGTAAAAATACTCAAATAAACTGTAGGAATGCCTAAGTATAACAATGAAAGAATGTGTGTGAAGATGTATTGATCAGCGTGATTGTTACAAATTTAAATAATGACGGACTTGTTTGTTACATATTAAAATATATCAGACATTGTTTTACCAAATTGTGAAACTCAAACATTTATAAAACTCAACCTTAAACAATAATTAATATTCATAACCTTAAACAATTATAGGACATAATACCAAACATTACATTAACTAATCATACTCAAAGCATTGTTATAATGTTAAAAACCAAAACAGATGTCAATGGATCAGATCCCAAAACATTACATGAGATTGCTATGGATCAAACAGATCCCTTACATAAGATTGTTTTATAACTCAACAGAACATAACATTGTTATAGCTAAAAAGACAATATATTTGGTCTTTCTCCTAATAGCCAACTTTGGTCTCATTGTTGTTGGTGGCTAAAATGTTGTTGTACCAACCTATTCCTCTTCTCATAGTAAGCAACTGTGACACTGAGATGGACGGTTGTGTATGGATTCTAGAAGATGATGTTGACAATCTAGTTTGAACTCTTTGGGTTGGTTGAGATTGGACAGTTGGAACTGGAGTGGTTGTTTGGGATTGTCTAGTTTGAACTCTTTGGATTGGTTGGGATTAGACAATTTATACTTGAGGGGTTGTTTGAGATTGTCTAGTTTGAACTCTTTGGGTTGGTTGGGATTGGTCAGTTTGTACTTGAGGGGTTGTTTGGGATTGTGTAGTTTGAACTCCTTAGGTTGGTTGGGATTGGACAGTTGGGACTGAAGTGGTTGTTTGGGATTGGACAGTTTGAGATTGGTAAATTTGGACAGTTGTTGCAGTTTGGGCCTGTTTTGGTTTTACAGGACATGATGCTTTGTTGTGTCCAGAAATACTACATATTGAACATTTGTTTGGTATCCCCTTCCTTGAAACATTTTTTGCATCCTTTCTCTTTTCATCAGCCTCCTTATTTCTTCTTCTTTTTGGCCTCTCTGGTGCTCTTCTTGAAGGTTACGGTAGTATGTCACGATAAGGTGTATGTTTCCATAAATTGTCCCCATTTGTTGGATAAATGAATGGTTGGTAGCAAGCTTGGCATGCCTCCTTCCTGTAGCATGCAGGGATGTAGTCTATTGGGTTTAGAGATCTACTCTGCATATAAGAAATTTCGTAATAGCATGGTATGCGAGTTAGCATCCAACTCCAACAAGAGAACTCCAACCTTCTAAGGTCAACTGTAAATTTTTCACCTGTCAAACGTGTATGCCTCACTTCATAAATCATGTCACCTGACAACCTTTGAAACAAATTCAATTCATTGAGTTAGTGTTAGTAAAAAAAACCTACACATCTCTTAGTAATGACTAACTTGTAAATTTTTATGTACCTTGGCATAAAAAACCTAGACATCTCTTGCCTTCTTTCAAGCACTTTTTTAATTCTTGGAAGAACAGACTATGTATATTTTTCAATCTTGGCTCTATTAGTTGCCCATCTATCCATGAGGCACCCTCTAATCTCCTTCATCATTGTTACAATTGGTTTTTGTCTTAGTCCAATTATAACACTGTTACAAGTTTCAGACATATTCTTCACCAACACATCACTTTTTGTATTGTATTTGAACATAGACTTACTCCAATATCTTGGAGGAATCTTCCACAAGTGTTTGAATGCCTCCTCATTAACCTTCATCATTTCCTTCATCTCCCTTTCCCATGCTTGAGGATATGTTGTCTTGGCTGCCCTCCACATCAATTCCTTCAAATGCTTTCCTGGAAACCTTTTTTTGAAGTTGCTATAAAGGTGTCTAACACAAAATCTCTGGTCAACTCCAAGTAACAACTCATCTATTGCAGGTAACAGCCCCTAATCATAAATGAAGGGAAACATTGTAACATTTTAAAATCATGAAGGACTATATTGTGAAATTTTAAAATCATGAAGGACTACACTGTGACATTTTAAAATCATGAAGGACCTGAAAGTTACATATGTATGCTACAAATTAAAATCATGCAGGACATATATGGAACAAAGTAAAAAACTGAATGTTACCTTCTGCTGATATGAAATAAATATCACATTTTTACAAACATCTAGCCCACCCAAGTCACGTACTAGCAGATCAAAGAACCATGCCCAGGAGTCTTTAGTATCTGCTTCAACTACAACCACTGCAATAGGAAACATTTGATCATTTGGGTCTCTTCCTACTGCTGCAAGGATTTGGCCTCCATAAATTCCTTTTAGAAAACATCCACAACTCCAATTATTGGTCTGCAAACTGCAAAACTCTTCTTGCAAGCATCAAGGCACATATACAATCTATGAAAACTTGGTAGTAACGGTCTGCTAACATATTCTTCAGGTTGTTGTTCAAGTTTAGATTGGTGTTGTTTAGTTGCTTGGACATTTAACTTGATGGTGTTGTTGGGATTTGACCTCAATACCTCATGTGCATGGTCATAAAACCTTAAAAATTGCTCCTTAAATGACCCTTCAATAATATTTAGTGATGTCTTCTGTGCTCTATAAGCCTTCATCCTACTTGAAATTCTGGCAAGCAGATTGTAGATTTTCTAACAACATGTCACGACATTATTCTCTACATAACGTTAAAAATAATGGCAGAATAGTCAAGCTGATACTTTGAATATCAACAGCAAAAGCACAACAGATGTTTCGACATTTGTTATAACATGTTAATCAAAAGGCAAATATTGAACTGTAAATTTGCAGAATAATAAATAACACAAGATATGTTAACCCAGTTCGATGCAAGTCACCTACATCTGGGGGCTACCAAGCCAGGAAGAAGAATCCACTATCAGTAGTATAGTTTTATGTAAACAACCTCTGGTTTATAGTAAATAACCTTTGGTTTACCCATCACTACCCAATGAAAACTTTATCATTAGAAGTCACATATAATTGATAAGAGAAACCGATATCACTCTCTTAATCACAACCTGTGATATCTAACAGTTACAGTCAACTACAACTACATCATCTTACTTGAAAGACTCCTCTTCAATACAAAGTTCAGCCAAGTTACCTTGACTAACAATCCTACTCGGATTCTATTGGATTTGCTTCAAAGCTTTATCCAAGAATAATACATTATTCATTACCTACAGGTTTCTAAATCTGTAGACCTATGTCTACCACAATGTATCAAAATTGATACAAAGGGAGACTTACTATACAAGAAAGCCTGCGAATCTCAAAACCCTAAACCCTTATTTCCCTTTACAAAAGAGTTACAAGAGGTTCGCTTTTTTTTACCCTAGGTCTAGGTCTTCCTTTTATAACCATAATAAAGACTGGATTTGGGCTTTAAAAATGCAATAATTTTGTTCCTCAGAAGCTGCAAAATATTCTCCTCAAGAATAGTTTCTTCAATCCTAAATTTCCTAAAATATTTCCACACTTTAGAAAATGACACATCTTCAAATTCCAAGAGAATCTCTGATTCCTTAATCTGAGCACCACCTAGGATACACAAACAATCTTCTGCAATCTGAATTTAAATTAGCAGATTCAAACCAAATTTAAAAACCGTAACAAACAAAGATGTCGAATAACCCTGTTTGGACATCTTGTCAAAACATGTTGTTCTTCAAGTTCTGCTACATGTTAGGACATCTTATCCAACATGTTTCTGTCAGGTTTGTTTTACCAAAAGTAATCCAATCAAAAACTAAGGAGCCTTCAATCTCCCCCTTTGGCATATTTTGGCTAAAACAGACCAAAGAACCCTTGCATGCAAACACACAATAGTTAGAGGCAAAAACCAGTCAGCAGCAGAAACAACACAAAGCTAGCAGCCTCCTCCTCTACTTAGAACTTCTTATGTTGCAGCAAGAAAAAAATCTCTCCCTCTCAATAGCAGCCAACAACCAATGATTACTTAAGTTAGTACTACTCCCCCTTTTTAGCCATAATATGACAAAGGCAAATTACTAACTAAGCATCCACACAGAAGCAAATATGTAAAGTACAAGCAAGCATAATTCTCTGAACAAGGCCTATAGTATTTCCTCAATAGTCACAGACATACAAGATTTGAAGAATAATCACGACCCTATGCACTCAACTCTAAATAAACTCCTTTCATTCAGAATTAGTAAATTTGATCATGATATCTTCAATATATCAACAGAAAACTTTCGTTGATCTTGACTTCCAATCTGCAGAGAAAAATAAATTCTCCCAGATAATAATGATTCTCAAGACACTCCCAAGAAGCTTGTACAAATCTAATTCAATCCATTGACACCCAATGACATAACAAAAAAAAATACATTGTCAAGTTCACCATGAGCTAGAACAATAACACAATGTCACTACATCTTGTCTGACATTACACCTAGAGACACACCATCATAAACGGCTTGAAACCCAAACAATATTGATAAAGAGTTGCACTACTGCAGCAACAGATCCTAGATAGAAGTATAACTCCCCCTATCAAGGATAACCAATGCTCCTTTGACAGAAGAACACCTTAAAGTGAATGGAAAACATAAGACTCATCTTCATGTCTTCAAAAGCCCACTCCTTGTTCAACACACCTGTTGAACGTATTCATTTACTTATTGCTCCACAAGCAACCTGTGTACCACAATAGTACAACCATCAGACAGAAGCTCTCCCCTATCTTTTATAAAAGATGCTCCTTCTAGCAAGGAACACCCAAAATCACCACACGATATCTCATGACCAACTTCATGCTCATACAGTGAGACAATACCAGGATTACCATCCTTATACTATAACTAACGAACTCTTGGATTGAGACTAAAATCACCATTTATCCCTCTCTTTCTAAACCCATCCATGACCTGCACAAATCTTACAGCCATAGATATCCATGTTCCTTGAGAAAAAATCCAATTGAACCTGGAATGCTTCATACTCCTCAAATAGACATGCATAGCCTCTTAGTTTGTTAGTTATCCCAAATGTCATTCACATTAAAAGGACATCAGATACATGATCCACAAATCTTCAGCTTACTTGCTTCACAAGCACCAAACTGATCTATATCTTTCTTGCAGTAGAAGAAACCACCTCTCCACAAGCATTCTAACCTCAACATGAGTCAGAGAACTGGATAGACACCCCATGATCCAAGATAGTCTTCACCTCATTATTCTCCCGTATGATAAGTTAGAACACTTTTGATTCAACTAGTGAATATCATCTTCCACAATATGAACCCCAAGTTCAGCAAATAGAATGATGTTCTAACATCAGTTAGGATATCCTAATCATATCACAGACACCATACATTATGGTTCTTGATACAATAACCACTTGGACTTACTATCTGCATAGTAGTCCAATCTGAAGATCTTCAGAGAACACAACTCCACCAGCTTAATCAACAAGAAATCTAGATAACATAGAGAGAATTAAACTCTCATACTTCTCCCAAAAGAAGGCATTCATCCTTAATCAATTTAGGGCTTCTACCACAAGCTCCAAGACATGAACAGAACTATAACCTCCTTTGGTCTTTAAACAACTACCCTTCTGCACAAGAGTAATTTGCTCCAAGCACACTCCTTGAATAACTAAATGTCGTTGTTTGGTTAACTCAGCTTCTTTTAGAGCTCCAAAAAATATCCTGATCCACCAATGAAACCTGATCTTTAAGTTACATATCCTACTTGCTCCATAGCAAGGCATCTTAGATACACCAAGACTTGGACCTGTAACATCTACTCCTTCTCACAGTTCCTGCAAACTATATGAGATAGACCTTTTTGAAGCGTTAATTCCATTCATACCTAAGAATATCAACTTATCTTCAGATGATGTACCATTACATCAAATAAGACCCTGAAGTTTAGATTGATGTCAGAACATCTGATAAGACATTTGGCTGGTGAATTCAGTCCTTCATTATGCCACTTAGAAAAACCCCATCACTATAATAAAACAAGAGTTTCATGTTCTCATAGACTTGATTAATGATATCAAGTTTGAGTAGACAACCTCTATTCTGCTTTATGATACCACAACAAATACCTTGAAAGTCATTTGCTTCAGGAACTCCTCTTCAGAGAAATCAAACATGCCAACGTTTGATTCTTCAAACGAGATTAGTTACACAAGAACTTTACAAAAAAAATCCAGCTTTCCTTAACTAGAGACTTCTTCAGAAGGTCAGAGATAATCACCATTTATCCTTGACACCTGATGTACTCCATTACACTTAGATAAAAAAATAAACTGATCCAAGGTCAATTCATCAAGATGATGAAGTCTTCATCTTTACTTCCATTAGCACCATATTCTAGACAAGTTTCTTGCCACGAAACTTTCTAGACAAATTACGTTCCTATGTAGGTCCAAGCTGGAGAAGAATCCAAACACATACGTGAATGGTACCAAGATCA